TTCACAAGCTGTTTGTCGTGGAGGACTTTTAACGTTCAAAGTGCAGCCTTTGTACATACCCACCCATGAGACCGCACCTGCTCATTTGTCCAGTTGCACTGTGGGCATCTTTTGAAATAAGTTTGTGAAGTTTGCTTTGAACAGCCCTAGTGGTTTGATCAACTTCCTTTTTGAATTGACTTTTTAAGTGCATGATTAAACCTTCTACAATACTGCGGAGCAAAGAGTAAATCAGTCTAGTTCCCACTGCATTTTTAAACCATAGTGCTGCCACGACACAATGCATTTTGTGAGTAAGAGCATGTTCGATTTTGAGTTCACAAAGATGTTAATAGTTTTGTTATTGAAATATTACTCAAAACTATCAGTTTATCATGCATGATATTTGAGTTATGATAGGTAACCATCCAGGGAGCAAAAACAGGCATTTGGGAAATCATTTAAAAAGGGCTCAAATCATGCATAGCTAGACAAACTGCTCTTATAGATTAATCCCACCACACTTTTGTAGTAAGTTTTTTTTTTTTTTTTAATTGCATTAAAGGAACACTTTGAAAACACATCATATCCCGATGTGAAAAATAACTATGCTGGATATCTGTACAAATATGGACAAGGCATTGTCTTGGGAACAAAAGGATGTCTCCCCTTATAAAGTTTTCAGCATACAGAGGGCTTAAGTTTGCAGACACCCTGAAAATCCAAGTGAAATAATGATGTGGCAGAATAGTCAGAATAATTTGATTTCTGCAACTCAAAATGCTTCTCAAGATCAAAGAGTTCCTGTAATTTTTTTTGAGCCATCTATTTACCCACTTCAAAGTCTGAGTATCATCTGTTTTCAATTCAGCTTTATGTAATATTTTCCAAAAATAAAAATGCACTGATTATATGAACATAAATAGTACAGGCTTTTAATCTGTGCCATTTAACAAATAATAATCACATGTCTTCCTCCAAAGTCAAAACTTTGCTCCAAACCATTTGCTTTCACTGCTCAAAAAAATTAAAATTACAAAAAACACATCATTGACAGTTGACATGTCTGATTCACAATCTCTTGATCTTTCAATTAATTGGCCAACCCTAACTGATTGTATTGGAGTTAAACCTAGCCACAGTAGCCAACTTGAAATCACTCAAATTACTATTAGAACCACTAAGGCACACAGTGATGCTTAGATTGAATTTGCATGCGAACATGGTTAGTGCAATGTTCTTTATTTACAATGAAAGAAAGAAATATAGAATGTGTATTATACAAGATATGTCTAACTAATGTGTCACTGCTGTTTTATGCTGGCTGCTTTAGTTACTGTTGTGCAGAATGACAAACACACTTTGCATTCTGTGTACTCAAAGTCTTGGATTGGATTTGCATGCTGAAGAGCTAGCCCTTGAAAATGAAGGAAACCACAAGTGTCTTTATTTTTATTTGCTTATTGAATTAGATAATACATCAACCTGGAGGCTTATGTCTTAACCTTAAGTACTGTCAAATGTTTGTGCATAAAACTTCGATTAATCCTTTCTCATTTTCTGTTTAGGATCCCGAGCATCCTGATTTTTTTTTTTCAACACTGTGATGGAAAATCTTGGTAAGAACAAAAACATTTTCTTTGTAATTATTTATTTCTGTTTGTGAATATAATAACTTAAACAAACGTGTTGCATTTAATGGCTGAAATGACCATTAATCAGCATAGAATGAGGCCATTAAAAACACTTTTTGTAGGGTTGGTCTGTCTGATTTCAGCTTCACACTGCACTGTAAAGCACAGAAAGTCTTAATTCTAAGACCAATTAGCTGAACTGAAAAAATATATAAAACAACCTTATTTTATTATACTAGTTATGTCTAATAGTTGCACTTTTATTATTGTGAGTTTTGACCTGTTCTCCTTTATTGCAACTAACAATTCAGAACTCACAGTTACAAAATCAAACATGGCTGCATCTATGTTTGTCTTTGGTATGGAGAAATAATAGTATTTGCCATTTTTCCACTATATAGTCCACCCTCCATCTGTGAATATTCTCATGTGACGACTGAACTTCTATAAATTTAAAATGGAGTGTTGGGCTCTGTTATGTTAATTTTGCTAACATCCACCGTTGGATAGAAGTATGTGTTAAATTTCTGCAGATTTTAATTTTCAATTTCAATTTAAATTTTCAAATTCAAATTCAGTTTTTTTGTAATTACTTTACTTTGTCATTTCTGACTTGACAATTAACTTTTGGAAAATTTCACTCCATGATTGATGGAACGCAACACAACAACAATTACAGGTTATTTATACGTCATTTAAGCCAGACATGTCAAACACAGGCTCGGGGACCAAATTTGGCCCGCAGTATAATTATATTTGACCCATGAGATTATATCAAATATGTGTTAGAACTGGCCCGCTGGCTACAGATAGGCTATTGAGACATTATTTATTTAAAATTTTGTTATTATTTTATATTATTCTTGTTCTGGATTCAATGTTTAAGCAAAACTCTTATGAAACATTTATTTTAGTAGGCAGAGGTTTAATATTACATATCTCGAAAGAAGAGAAAACATGCCGATATTATTTAAATTTTTCAGTGAATATTTAGTTTGCCCTGCGACGTAGTCCCAGTTTTTAATTTTGGCCCTCTGTGAATTTGAGTTTGACACCCTTGGTTTAAGCAATAAAGTAAAAATAATTTGGTAATGTTGTTGCATTAATATACAACTTCATTATTTTAATTATTTGTATATTGTAAATTTCAACACTTAAAAATCAAGTCATTGTAAGGAGTCAAGTTCTCTTAACTTTGATTTGAACTTATGTCATCAGCCTGAATGTCTAACTTGGGCGAGTTTCTTTTCCCTTACCCTCTCTGATGTAATCTTATGTGTTCCACGAAAGGTTAAATCGCTGTGAAACTGAAGTGGAGTTAATCATAGTATCATGATGTAGTGAGTCAACAAACTCCTCTCTCAGGTGTGGAGCTGTTTGTTCTGGGGCGGAACCACATTCATAGTGCTGTGCTGTGATTGGCTGAGGTATAGAGGGCACAGCCTTCTCTGTGTTTGTGTTTCACCACTTACCTGGCCTAGATTACATTTACTCAGCAACTCGCTACACTGTTTAGACATGGCGGTGCAGTCGGCTTATATTTGTGAGTACTTTTATTATTTTAAAATATTTTTTTAAAAATAGAATTAAGAAAACTGTAATTTTTTAACAGTTTGTCTAATCATTTTGATGGGACCTATGATTAACTAATATTTCAGTTTTAGATGGTAGGTGGATGGATAGATGGATAAGTGGATAGAATTGGTCAGCGTTGCTTTAACAAAAACAGCACAACTATATATCTGTATCATTGTAATTGACTTAAAAAAATAGACAAATGTTTCCTCAACTTTCTCTGGGAAGGAATACACATTTCAACTCCTAGATATTGTCCTAGGTATGTGACACTGGCCAATGTTGATGTTGTCATGCTGAATGTGGGACATAGTGAATTCATGAGTCATCACTTTGCAGTGGACATAGGACTGGGTTGGACTACATGTTTTGCTTTGAAACATACAGAAGTTTGTCTCCATCTGCTGTCATTTTTTGGAACTTTGCCATCACCGCAGAACTCTGAGATTAAAGGATGTGAGACTGTTTCATTGTTATCTTCACAGGTTGTTTTTAATTTCTTTAGCTGTTGCATTCCACACATTCCCAAGTCATATTTTGTTGTAGCATTCATTAAACTCTAGAGGGTGCCACTGTTTGTAAATTCATGCATTGAAAGCATAAATCATGACAGACTAGTGGTCTCGTTAGTCGTAACCACATATTACACTATCCTGTGGTTCACTAGTGGTGAAGAGTGGTGACTTTGGTTTCTTTATAATCTTTACTGTTCTTAACAGTTAAATATATTTCTTCCACCACTTTGATGCAGAATTTAACTAAATATGTTTTGCGAAAAAATTGTGGAATGGTTTAACACTGATAATATGCTTCAGAAAGTTTGACATCTTGTTTCTGATAAGCCACATCTTTATATATACTGTATGACTGATCTCGTTTCACATTTCTTTCTCATCTGCCTAAAATGGTATTGTTAATGAGTTATAAATGGAAATTCAAACTAACATTAAACTTCTGCTTCTTGGTTCAGTCAACATTATGCTACAGAATACCTCACTGAACTTCAAACGCACACAGCCAAAAAGAGGACCATAACTGTCTTTCCTCTGTTTGCCACTTTCACTCTCCTTCATGTAAGTCCTCCCACACACTTAGTCCACATAACCTCATTACCCTGGCTTTGGTTGTAGTGTATTGTATGAGGCTGTGTAGGATTAAAGCTTTCTCATGGCTTTGGCCTAGTAGTGAATGTTCAGGGCTTCAAGAGTGAGCCTTGTCTGTTTTATGTGCTTGTAAGTGAATTGCAAGTGTCAGATTTATTAGTTTCAGCTTGTCAAATGTGAAACATGTGAGTGCTTTTTTTAAACTCCAATTGCTAGATCTGAATGTCATCATAGTTATATGTAGTAGGTTCATGTTTCCAGTTTAAAGGGACCATCCCTGTAGTGTCACAGTGCACCTATGTGGTGTCACTTCCTCTTCTCTGGCTTGAAGCTCCACCTTGGCTGGGCTCACCTTCCACTTCTCAAATTACCTCAGCCAACAGAGCCCGCCCATCACCCTTCAGGGAGCACTGTTTTGCCAGGCACAACCCTGCTCAAAGGGGGGCACGCAGCACAGCAAATCTCCCAAGACTTGATGGCTGCTCTGGCCAGAAGCCGAAGCATGAATGCTGTGAACTTTGCCCCTGAAAAATCTGCTCTGTGGAATGAAAGGCATCTTAGACTGCTGGATTACCTTTTTTGCGTACCTTATTTATGAAGTCAGAGCTCCAAGAAGGGAGGGACTTAAGAACTGAGCAAGTGAGTGTGTTTGTGTACTTTGGGAGGAAGGGAGGGAAGGAGAGCCCATATCACACAGTGCTGAGGAGGAGGCAGGACTTTACAGACTAGAAACTAAACGGCGTAAGTGAACTGCCGAGACACTTAAGTTTCTCAGGTTCTGTCGCTGTGGAAAAAGAAGTGGCTTTTGGTTTTCTCTTTCCCGCTGGCGCCTCAGGAGAGGCAGGGCCCAGCAGGCCAACTGGGACTGCTGTCGGAGCATGGGACACAGTGCTAGCACTGAAACTGTGCCCCAGCAACCAGGCCTACATAACACGGGTAAGTTGTAGCGAAAGAGTGCAGCTGGCTTTGTTGAAGACAGAAATCACACAAGTTAGCAGCTTAATTTGTGATGTTGTGTAGAAGCTTTAAGTGTGAGCAGGTGTTTTAGCAGAAACTGCATGGCGGCAGGCGCAGACAGGTGTAGAAGAATGCATGCAGATGGAATGTGGTCATTGTGAAATGTACAAACCACACTAACTTCTCTGTCTGCCCTCATCTCCCTGTGGAATTACTCACTACATTTTGAGTGCAAGGCACTGGCTGACACTATTCGGTGTGGAAACATTTCTCAAAGTTGCTTGGTGGTCACTACACTAATTTCAGGTTGTATCAGGAAGTTGTAAATTTATTTGTTCATACAAGAATGAAAAGTAGATCTCTTCAGGTCAGTACGTTTCAGATCCGTTACTATCCATTCCATTGCCCTAAATTATTGGCCAACAAAGTCAGACATGTTTACTTTCAGGAACCCACATCTCTTAAATAAACACTGCATAACAACCACCAGGTTAAATATTTGCTATTCCAAGCAAAAAGTAATTTTTCCTTTGCTGTGTGTATTTCTTTTTGGAGCTGGTGTCATGTGATGGGCATGAGTCATATGGTTAAGCTGACCAGATCACTTGTTGCAAGTGTCTGCGGTGATGGCTGCCCACAACTTTGCAATAGTTATAATTCATGTAGAATTTATTCATTTTTCTTTTGCATATTAACGTGTAACTTTGCTAGGTCAACTGACATGCTGTTATCCACTGCAAATTGGATGCAATAAAGCAATATGCACATTTTCAGTGTAAAGGTTGACAATGGGTTTGAGCTTTTTACTTGCGTATGTTAATAGCAATTTTCATACTAGATGCATATCCTATTGTCATTTCATTTGTTCATTCTTTTTATTTTAAGCACCACTCTCTTAAATATTTACTCTTTTTTTCCTCAGTTATCAAGCAGCATTAACTCATTTTATTTAACAGTTGACATTATTTGTTTTTGTGTGACATCCTGAATGTGGTTGTCTTTCTTGTCAGTTCCCCTGAATGCATTTTTTCCCCTCCTGATCATTGTGCTCTGCTCACCTAGCCTCGGGTCTTAGCCTTTCATTATCTGGTCTCTCACTTTAAACGAATGGTCGCACTCAGTTGGCTTCAACACAAGGTCATCCCATCGTACTTAGATTTCTCTTTTGTTAAACCACAGCAGCCCACCCTTCTCATTTTAACAGCCACCTGTGTCTGGCTTATGTGTCAGGAATAGCCACGCCACGCAGAGTTCAATGACCCTTGTATGCTGCCGTTTGGGCATGAGATTTCACACATACTCCCCAGTATGCTTCACCGTCCTACAGGAACATGTTTAAACTTGGAATAGGAAACTGAAAATTAATCTTGGAAGAATTTTTAACATTGAAGACAAAATTAACAGATGTTATGGACTAACTCATGATCTGCACAGTTGACATTTATTTTACTGTTGAAGCGTATTTGATATCTCTCTTAGGATGGAATAATTTATTTAGGAGTTCTTATTGTAGATTATATGATGGGTTTTGGAAATTGGCAAACATCAACGACATAGACATTGTATTTGGAAATTACCTGTGTATCCATGGCCTGAATGATTGTTGCCTCACTGCACACAACAGCTCACATTGTATGTGCATGTAATCCCAAAGGATCCAAAACAAGATGGTGAAAATCTGCTGTGTAAATATAACACACATGTCTAAAATGCACCATCATTTGTCAACAACAGTGCACACTGTCATCTTGAATAATCTTGACTGATCAGACTTTTGGCCCTCAGTGCTGAATCATACATATGCCCCGACATGCTTGTTCAGTGGGCAATAACATGGGTTATTCCCTGCCAGAAACCTGATGCGGCAGAGTGCTTTCTGTTGCTTTAAAGCAGGTCACAAAAAAAACAAAAAAAAAACTTATTCAAACAATATAATCTCATTCAAAAAGCAAGGTTAAAACATGGCTGTTCTGTGAATTCCCTTTTATTTCATAAGTATGTCTTTTTTAGCAAGTTTTATAGTTATTTAGTGTATAATTTGCATTGGCTACTGCTAGATCCATTTACTTCTGTTAATCTCTCAATGTAAAAAGTCAAATTTGGTTTTGAAATGTGTTTTTCTGATGCAAGTTGTCATACCTTTTAGAATAGCAGTTAGCCCTGCCCCCCATCGTTACAGGCCACAGTATACTCCAGTTTGTGTTGAGTAACTGCCTGCACACTAGTCATCACCTAAGAATTCTAATGGCCCACGCACATCCAGTGCTATCTGTATTTTTTCACAATGGAGGAACTTTGGGGGTTTGAGTAATTTAATATTTTGGTTTATTTGTGTTTAGTTTTTTACAATAACCTATTTGAAGGAAAACAAATGCATTGTTAAGTTGTTCATAGACCACACTACAATAAACAAGGTTGTGAGGCAAAGTTTTAGTTTTAAAATTGTTTGAAGCCACAAATTGTAGGTTAAAAGAAATGTGTTTTTGACGGACTGTCACGACTACCACTACGTGTATTATTAGTTTACTCCCTGACTAGTGGAAATATTGTAGGCCTGACTAACATGGAAATAATCTGTTATCTTCTCTTCTTCCAGATGATGATGTCGACCTGCAGCAAAGCACAACAGGAGGGGAAGAGGGAAACTCTGGTGGAGGAACTCCTCCAGCCAAACGCAAAGGCAAATTCTCCAAAGTTGGGAAGATCTTCAAGCCCTGGAAATGGAGAAAGAAGAAACCAAGTGAGAAGTTTGCTGAAACATCTATAGGTGTGCTGCTATTTCCTTTTTTCTTTAATCCCTGATGATTTTAGATTCTCACATTTGTTTTTTTGGTTTTTTTTAGCCTTGGAAAGAAAAATTTCTGTTAGGAAGAGTCGCCAAGAGCTCATTGCAAAAGGAGTGCTTAAAGAAATTCCAGAGAATGGTATGATTTTAAGATGATGTCATTTATTGAAACAATGAACAGTTGATATTATAATTTGTTGTATTTACAGAGAGCAACAATGTGAACCACAACAAAGTTCCTCCTGTAAAGAATGGCCATCCGGTGCCAATGGATGTGGACCGGTTGTCCGAGGCCGGATCACGCGTGTCCCGTGGAGAGTCAGACCTCAAAATCAACGCCGTGCGTGGCCCCCAGGTAGAAGAACGCAGGTCCAGAATCCCGTCGGACGCTTCCCGCTCCAATCGGGCACCTCTGGATGTGGACACTCACGCACGGCTGCCTTTGGACGTAGACCCCCGAGTACGACTCCCCTCGGAAGACAAGAGGGGAGGTTCTCTACCCCGTGGACAATCTCAGGACAATAGATATAGGTACAGGGATGAGAGACGAGACAGAGAAGAAGCAGACCGACGGGACGACAGGAGAGACTGGAGGGATGACCGGGGGGACCGAAGAGACCGAGACGACAGAGAAAGACGGGATCGAGACGAGCGTGAGAGAAGAGAAAGAGATGAAAAAGAACGAAGAGATAGGGATGACAGGGAGAGACCGGAAAGAGATGTAAAAGACAGAAGAGATAGGGAAAGAGATGAAAGAGAAAGGAGAGAGAGAGACAGAGATGAGCGAGAAAGAGGGGAGAGGGAAGAGCGAGAAAAGAGAGCTCGAGATGAGCGAGAAAAGAGGGATCGAGAGGAGAGAGAAAGGAGAGACAGAGATGAAAGAGAGCGCAGAGACCGAGAGGAAAAGGAAAGGAAGGAAAGAGAAGACAAAGAGACGAGAGAACGAGATGAGAGGGAACGAAGAGAGATGGATGAAAAGGAAAGAAGGGACAGAGAAGACAGACAAAGAAAAGAACGAGATGACCGTGAGAGGGAGAGAAGGGAGAGGAGAGGGACGACAGAGAGCGCAGAGAGCGCAGAGAGCGCAGAGAGCGGGACGACAGAGACAGAAGAGAGGACAGGAGGGATGACAGGGAATGGCGTGTAGAAAGAGATAGGAGGGATGAAGACCGAGAGAGAAGAGCGGATGAGGGGAACCGAAGGAACGAGCGAGAGAGGAGAGAGGAACGGGACCGACGGGATGACAAGGACCGGAGGGACAGACCCGAACCCCAGCGCTCAGTGGACGACCATCGGCCTGTTGTCAGGCCTAACTTTGACACAGACCCCAGACCTCCTCTGCAGAAGAGCTCCTCAGAGGAAGCCAGGAGGGCGCGGCCTGTGTCTGAATCCAGCGGCCGGAGCACACTGCCCCGCTACGTGTCCCCGACTGAGTTCAGGGACCGCTCAGGTGAGAAACGATCATTCTGTCAAACACTCATTTATTAAACTTTGCTGTTACTTTACTTTACTTACTTGTGGTAAGCTGTTCAAATGTATCTATGGTATAGTATTATCATTACTCATAATCGTTTTACAAATATAGAGAAGGTTTCAGTGGTAGTCATCTGGACACTGTTTGGAATCAAGACCTTTTGGCTCCCATGCAGAAGCAAATTTCAGTTAACATGTTATTTGATGAGCTTGTTTAATAGTTTTTTATAGTCTTTTTATTGAATTTGAATTAACTGGTGACTGTTACTGGCGTGTTTAATTGCTGCTTGTAAAAAGGTAAACCAGCATCTCGGTGAGTCATCAATCTGTAGATAGGGTTTCACCTTGATGGATGGAGATGAAAATGAGTAGGTGCAACATTAGTGACAGTACGCCTCACAGCTTAAGCATTCTGCCTAATTAAATGTCCATGGGAAAATTAAGAGATGGTGAGCTACTTTTGAATTTGATTTAGAACATTTTTAAAAGATACATTTAAAAATATGGTATGCATCAAAGATCTAAGAAATTACTATTTTGAAAAATACATACAGTTTTTTGATTTCTTGCATTTCTCTTTATTGCTGTTATTTTAAAGGTGCATTGTATAACTTTTCTGGTGGAATGAGCCATCAAATAGAGATATTATTGATGTGTCTGGTATGGTGTTAAACTCTTCATGGAGATAAAACCACCAAGCTGCAGGTCATGAAGATGCTAGTTGAGCTATTTAATGTCATACTGTATAACAATCCAGCCAGAGCAATGATATAGCCATAGAAACAATCAGGTGACAGTTATACAATGCACCTTTAATTAATTAATTAATAATTTTAATAATTTATATACATATATAGAAATGGTCATACCTGAAACTATTCATTCATGACAGCATCCATTATAAATGTATCAACAACATACTTCTCATTGTCACTCAACTTGAAAAGAATGCAGTAGTTAAAATTTATTGTCTGAGTGGGTAGATTTGGGTTATTTTTTGTAATGTCTGTGCCTGATTTATTACTTCTGCTATTTATCTGTTGCAGCTCATCCCACATAATCATACCGTCGATTTAAAAATGTTTTACTGTTACTGTATCAGTAACATAAAGTAGTTTCAATATTATTGTTTCTTGCATTATATCTCTGTAACTATGTATTGTGCTTCAAAATTTGTTATTGTGACAGGTCTAGATAGAATGCATAACTCAGGCCAATCAGCTCTAAGACTCTGAAATGCTGTTTGTTGTTTTCTCATATAATTCCCATACATCATTGTCCATGGATGAAAAATATAAGTTCAAATTGCACTTTGATGTACATGGTCGATACTGGAATACTTTTTCAGTAGTAGTCCTCTTTGTAAATGTTTTTCTGGTCCAATGGCAAGTCTTGTGCAAACGCCAGCTCTTCTGGGTGCTGCAAGGTATTTTAGTAAATGATTGAACTGATGTCAGAGACTCAGTTGACTCCTGAGCACATTGAGGTTGTTAATGCTGGGAGTTTCACTCATTTTAATATAAAACAAGCGTAGCAAATAACAAGTCATTAGTCTGTCTTAGCGCTTTTGATCTGGTTCTGCGTCTGTTGCAGCGCATGGACTGTTTGATGTGATTCATGCACTTTTCATCCGCTAATGACTGTCAGGCCTTGATCTTATGTTAAAGAACGTCATGAGCTTCAAGGTCGAACAAAGCAGCACTTTGAGCAAGCAGCTGTACTTCCTAACTCCGTACAATAGTTCGGAAAGATTACTTCTGACTAGGGCTACAGCACACCATTATTTTTGTAGTTGATAAATTAGCGATTATTTTTATGATCAGTTGACTAGACAAATGATTAACCAAATAAAGGTAGAAATATGGAAATATTTATGAATTAATTGTGTTATTGATTAAAAAATGGACATTAAGATTTACATTTTATAACGCCACTGTATTTGTTATAAAATTCTTTCTATGAGTTTTTGAGGCTGTATAGTCTAGATAACGATTCAGATTGTCCAAATATGTATGTATATATAAAAATTTAAAATAAAAAAAAACATTTATTTTTTTATTTTTATCATCACTGACTAATCATGAATAGCTGACTAAATGTTGCAGCCCTACTTGACTTTGTTACAGTCACAGTGCTGGTAACCAGGTGGACCTTGTAATGCAAGCAATGTACACAATGATGATGTAACATGCACACAATGAGTTTTTGTGGTCTTTGAGTATGTGAATATGTATCAAAATGTATAAGATGAAACAAACACCCCTGTTTGTTACTTGTGCTGGAGGATTTTTGGAAAAAAGCAGTAAGTACTGCAATTAGATGTATAAATTTCCATTCTGTTCAGAGTGCCTTTGCATACTCGGTAAGCTTTAGTATTTGAGAGAATGGTCAAATCTAAACTGGTAAACTTATACAAGAGTCCCATGAATTTCGGAATATGTCCGTAAATGTCGAAAGTAACAGATCAGTAACAGAAGTATCAGATTTCTCTATTAAAAATAAGGGAAACATTTCAAATAAAATATATAGAAAACATATATTTTGTTCTTGACCTTGACCTTGTAATTACCAAAATAAATGCATCCGTTGCAATTTAATCTTTGCAGCAGCTCATATTTGGAACTCCAACTCCTGGATATGCTTAGGTACATGCTCTAGCAACCAGATCGTCAACATACCCTAGAAATGTGCAGCCTGTGTGCTAATGTTGCTATGCTACTGTTTTGTGTTCCCTTTTGCTATATGCTTTGTTTGTTTATGCTTATCTTTGCCCTCTATGTGAATAGTTTTTGTGTAAGGAGCAGAAATTACTCTATTTTTTTAATCTCATTTTACAAAAAAAATGAGCTTGATTTTTTTTTTTTTTTTTTTTTTTAAATCAACATTTTAGAACAGCCGCAGCAATTCACTTCAGAAACCATTTATATCTTGTTAATACTATTTTACAAAACGGTTACAATATTATATTACAACTCAAAATGTCAGAATGGATGACAAACCCTACTGCATAAACTGTATCCATGTTTGTTTACGTCCTGTCCTCCTGTCTGTCTGTGTGCTTTAGAGTCTGTCGGCGTCCGCTCATCCAAAGACCCCCAACCGGACCCCCCACCCCTGAAACAAGCCCTGCTGCCCCCTACCTCCAAATACTCTTCCTCCACCTCCTCCTCTGATCCCCCCCGCAGCACCACCCCCCCATCTTCTTCCTCCTCTTCCTCCTCTGCCTCCTCTGCATCATCCTCCTCCGCACCCGTTCCGATGGCCAAACCCCCGCGGACAGTCTCGCTCATTGTCAACGACGAGCCCCCAAGAGTCACGTTACCCCAGGCCAGGAGGGTGACACGCCTCCCCCCGTCCCTCCCCACGCCAAGCAGCCCCCGCCTCCTCCCCCCAAACCCAGCAACCGCAACAGCACCATCCCTGTGACCGGTGAGTGTTCCACCTGCTTACTCCACTCCATGTCTAAGCCTTGTTTTCGCAAGTCTCAAGGTGCAGTTCCACACATTGTTAATTCATAGCTTTTTTGTTTTGCTTTGTTGTTTTGTGTGTTTACTTCTCTTTTTATTTTTTACTATTATTTATTTTATTTAAATATATGGTTATACTCTCATCCGTTATGACCTGTGTTGTTTCTCGGTGACTTTACCCACACAAAAAGAATGTAACATACCTGTTTGTTTTTAAAATTATTTATATTATAATTAAAACTGAATAAAACATGTTACAAGGTGCCCTAGGGGACAGACCCTAGCACCATTTCATCGTTGAGCTTAACCACTTCAAACTGCTTACTGTCCTGCCTTACAAAACCTTACAACCCCCCAAAAAAATCAGTAGAGTTGAGAATTGAATGGAAAAAAGATAATATATTGCAATTGTTGTTCTGGGAATATGCAAAGTCAAAGAAGTATATTGTCTAATTAAAATTATTAAAAAAGGACTGCAAGAATGGCTGATTAAACAAAATTATAGAAATGTGCAGTGTAAACTCCCAAACAAGGGTATGAAGAGATATTTTGCACTTATGTGGTTCATTTTATGGACCATTGTTGTTTGAGATCAAAAATAAAGAAAGACATTGGGGATATTCTTTTATCATTTTGTCAATATCACCAATCCCCAACCTTGATTATAATGGACTTCAGAACCCAAATATTACATATACAGAAACCCCACTCGCACTCTGTTCACTCTGTTTAGTTTGATAGTATTAGGAGCACATTCTGCCAAAACCCCTGGAGAGAACAGGCAGGGGCTTGTCTTCATTGCAGTTTCCAACACTTCACAGGAGACTTGATAGATTTGATTGGTTTTTAGTATCTCGTATACTGTGCCTCAGCTTATTTCAGCCCCACACTCTCTCTGAAAACAGTCTGCTCCGTGAGTGTGAGACAGTGACAAATTCCCGAGCCATTTGTCAGGTCAAAGTCCCCTGGATCTGTTACTGAATTGTCTTTCCAAGGCCAACCCGGATGTCGCAAAGTGAAGGGTTGTAAAGTCAGTGTCAGTGTACATTGATTTTCCCTCTCCTCTATGTCACTGTATTTTTGTGCTGTGGCTTTCATGTAGTTCAAACAGCAGAGCTACTAGTTGTTACTAAACTGTATATAGAGTTTCTAATAGCATTGTCTACTGTTCCTAGTCTTTTTTTGCCATTTTTTGTGCAATCTAGGACTATTTGGAGCTTTCTTTTTAAAACTGTCAAAAGCAGAGTATGTTGGCTCCAGTGGCCACTAAAATTTCAAGTACTATGTGACTACTGTGTAATACTGGGTTGTGTTTACGGTAGTAATATAGTTATAAAATTGGTCTACAGTTTCTATTGCCTGCAAACCAAAACTTTTAAGAAACATTCAATTGTTTATTGTTGTAAAGTAACAGTTCTGTACATGTTTGCAAATATTTGTATGTGGTAGTCACAAATGAAAGTTATGAACAATCACATTATTATCTTGCATATCTACTTTTAGCTGAAAAATACAAATGATTACCCTCGGTATCCACCCACATTTCCACTGCCTCTGGCCACAGTGCTAAACGGTGCTAAACATTAGCCGGCCGCTCTGCTCTGCTGTGTTCCTGTGCCCGTATGGAATGTAAACACAGCCCCTCATCCTCCCTCCCTGCCTTGTCTGCAGCCTCCTCCCTGCACCGGGGCCGCCTTAGGGTCAGGCCGCCGGGTCACTGGAGACGGCACCACGAGCTGGGGCTGTACCTCTCCCTCCCCACCTACCCACATCACCGCCGGCCCGGTCAGTCGTGTGCTTAGAGGCATGCACACCGGACGCATACCAACTAGAACCTAAGTTGATTGGGTGGTCAGATCATTGGGGGTGTGAAACTGGGTTATATGAGTTGGTGGAAAAATAACTAGAGTAGACATTTTCTTTGAAGTTCGGTCACCTGCTTTTCATCCACCTTTGCGTTAACAAAAACTGTCTAACTAATCATTAAAACAACAAAATATCTTAAATTTAAGGGAGCTGTACCTGATTTTTACTGTTTTCAAAATGTGAAAAACAGAACTAGTTCATTTTAAATGGTTTGCAGTGGTCCTCAATTTTCTAATGCATTGTCGTGTCTTGTTAATTATTCACTGCAAAGAGTTAAGAAAAGAACATTTTTCACAACTTTCAGAATCCATAGTGTCACAGCACATTAGCTGTTAGTATTACTAACAGTCCACTTCCTGATTATTGGACAATAAAATGCTTTGATTTTATGCAGACAGCACACAGTGGTCTCTCTGACACTTTCAGAGGTCTCATTTTATCAATATATACACAGAAAAAATTGGGAAAAAATGGGTACAGCCACTTAAATATAAAATCAAATGTAAATTTTTTGATATTAAATAGTTTTAAGCCATTTTGATCTGACCACTCAAATCATCCTGGTACATACAGTTGTACCAAGTCCCCATGTCTATCCATAGCATGTTAGCACACCTCTGCAGTACCTCACCTCCATTTTAAGTTTGAGCCTGTGCTGCATGAAGACTGCTGCAATACCCACAGGCTATAAAATATATTGCATGGAAGTTAACATAGAATGTGTGTTATTAATCCTAATGTTGACCATGAAGAGACTTCTTCCTAAACATAGAACTAGAGTCAAGTCCATGTCTGACAATTCATCACTGTAATACCACTAACTTCATGAATAGAACATCTCACTTAAACTAATGCTTAAAAGAATCCTGGACCAGTAAGCCCCATGCATTTCATTCAAATTATGAAGTAAGTTTTATACAAGATAAGAAAAATTGTCTATTTACCAATTTGTTGAAGATTACAAAGATATGTTGAACAACACAAAAACTTCTCTCAAACAGAGCAGTAAACATATTAGTGAGAAATTAGATTTTGCAGTGGACAAATTGTGATTTGCCAATTGTGAGTATTCAAAACTGGGATTTGATTTAGCTAAGTCTACAAGATTTGTGCTACTAACAAAGACTTATAAACAGAATAATTCAAATCTTTTACGGTCCAGTTTTCTTTAACCATCTTTAAACCAATTATGTTTTTATTCATTGAATTTCCTTTCTCCACAGCTGATCACCCTCAGCCCGGTGTCATTGTCGTACCCGCTCCTGCCAAACGCTCCCCTCCCACTCCCCCCAAGAGGACCACGCCCGTCACCAAGCGCCATTCTGTAGACCCGACCCCTCCTCCGCCCCCTGCTCACGCTTCTGAAGCCCCCTCTTCCAATCCTGGAAATGTCCCCGCGCTTATACCCCCACGAACTGACAGTTTAGAGGACAAACCACAACCACTCCAAGCTGCAGTCGACGATATGCCATCGCCGCCATCCCACATCCCTCCGTCTCCTCCGCGCTCGCCCTCTCTACCCCCACAGCCCAGCTCCACCGTTGTGCCCAGGCCTACTAGTCAGCCGGACCCCCCTAGCCCGACCACAGAGCCCCCCAGCCAGCCCCCCACCGTCCCGCTACACATCCTGATCCAGAGAGCGCTGAACAGCCCAAGCCCGATGCAGCCCAATCCGGACGGGTCACAGAGGGCACACTCACTGCTGTTTGAGTCTCCCGTCGATGTGGTAGCTGAGGGAGGAGGGAACTCTCGATACTCACTGCCCGTCACCATTGAACCACTCAGGCTGTAAGTTAACAACAAAGTGTGCAAAGCAAGTAATAATGCTTAAGATGTGCATTCGTAGAACAAAGTTTGGGCTAAGCCTTCAATAATAATAGAATATTTTTATTCATCTTGAAAGCTAAGAATTTAAAGTTATAAACTGTTATACTACTAGAAGTACTTCCACCAAAACATTAATAGAAAAATAGAATTAATAGAAAAACTAAGTTGAATTAAAATGACAATAGAAATTGAATAAGCAATAGTTTAGTAAAATCAAATCAAAATGAAATGCATTTATAGAGAACATTTAAAGCATCCAAAGCTTACCAAAGTGCTGAACAACAACAATAATGCAACAGTGGTACAGATTAAAAAAAAAAAAATGCTGTGAAAACAAACTAAAAGGGTGACCTGATGCTGAAAAAATAAATCCAGGAACTCCCTGTTCCTGGAGTTTATTTACCATGGCTTACTGCAGAGACAATCCTATTTTGTACACTTGTTTGACGTGAAAGCTACTACAAAGGCTATATTTTGCATGACTAAACTTTAAAGCTTGACACCTTGCATACCAACCCTGTCTGTGAACAACAAATAATTACCGTACTCTGTTTTTCAAAGAAACGATGACAAGTAAAATACACCTTTGTTTTCAAAATGCAATGCCCTTTTATCACTATTTCATTTTTTTCTCAAATAATTCAGAATTGTTCACACTTATTCTTCTTGGGGCAGGGGTTCGTGCTTACAAAATAATTGTGTTTCAAATTCCCTTACATTCGCTGCTACATAGGACATATTTTTATTTATGGACTGCTTCATTGAATTCACATCCAAAATGAACATATCTTTTACCCATTATTATGTGCAATAATCCATTTTACTGTGAAGGGATTATAGCTTTTTATAAATATTTAATGAATTATTTGCATGGAAGTGCGCAAGCAAGGAAGAGTGGTTACATGAAATAAACAGCCCAGAGCCAGGAATCAAAACAGTCCACATGTGGTAAGCACTTTTCCAGGACCCCATAAGGTGCCCGGGATAACGCACATTTTCCACATTTACCAATAGTATTTGAAGTTCTTTTTAATGTTAGATTGTATGACACTTCTGGCTCTGTGGCGGTCCAGAGTGTGTTCTTTGCCTGAAAAACCTTCCCTGACAGGTAAAAAAAAAAAAAGTTGCTTGAAACAAAACAATGTGAACTTGAAAGAAGCCACACAAGCCATTTTTAAGTGCTTCATTTGCCAAAAGCACAGACCTTTGGGTGTTCAAGTGAGTGTAGAAGCTTCAAGACACTAATTAGCAGAAAGATGTATGACACTAGTTTTAGTTTGGGAAGCAGTTTCACTTTCCAATCACTGTACACTGCTTACCTGGGCATTTTTTGTGTATAGCCAGATTAGTTTTTCTTTCTTTCTTTAAAAAAAAATGTCTATAGTAATCCTTTTTAAATATATATATATATATATATATATATATATATATATATATATATATATATATATACACACACACACATACATACATACATACATACATACATACATATATATATATATATATATATATATATATATATATATATATATATATATATATATATATATATATATATATATATATATATATATATATAAATTATGTTGTTTTTTTCTAGTAGTTGACATAGTTTAAGAAATGTGTTATAACAACTCAAAAAACTTTAACATAGACAACAGACATTTATAATGTGTTTTTTTACTTGATTTTTTTACCAGATGTTACAACTATCATGCGCAAGAAGTGAATTTAAAGATAATTTAAATAAACTCTAATGTAATTGGGAATTGGCTCACACATCTTTCCAAGGCCACATGAAAGAATAGATTTAAAAAGTCAGGTCACCTACCACCATTTAAGATAAGGGAATATTTATTTGTCCCACAATGGTGTTGCAACTCACAGTTCAAGGACAACAAGATAATCAAAACAGACAAGACAAAAAAAAAAATCAAGATAAATAACTATTGCCAGATTTGCTTAGTTTGTGAAAATGCAGATCCTTCATTCTTATCCAGTGTATGTGTTCCCAGGCCTGAAGATGACGACTTTGACATGGAGGAGGAGCTGCGGAAGCTCCACCCTCCCAAAGTCCAGACTCGACATGAGATGGAGCCACGCAGCCGCCGGGCACTGGTGGGGGACCCTCGGGTGTCTGTCATCCCTGAAGGAGGAGGCCCTGGGGACAGTGAGGAAGAGTCTGACTCTGACGGGCCCATTCTGTACAGGGACGATGACGAAGATGATGACGAGGAGGCACCCCCAAGTATGTCACTCTGAAATACTGCGTATGTAGTCCATTGGCTGATAAGGACAAAAAAACAAACAAAAAAACCCCCCAAAAATTCTGACTTAATGACTAGAAGGCAGGTCTATACGAGACTTTTTTCCATGTATTTTAGCAAATTGTGTCTTACCTCAGCACAGATATGCTGTATAAGAGTCTAAAAAGCATCTTCATTGTCCACTAATCAGGAAGTGTAGGTTATCATGCTATTTTTTGTTAGCATTTCTGGCTTTATAAAGTTGTGAAAAACGTTATAAACTCATCACGGTGAATAATTAGGATGCTTGGAATGGTTAGTGAGGAATAACTTACAAAACTTTAAACTTAACTAGGTTTTTCATGTTTTTGAGCCTGTCAACATCGGGTAAAAGATCCTTTTATATATAAAACAGTTGGCAATTTCTCCAGATGAGGCTAATGTAAGTAGCAGTAGTTAAAGGAGTTCTAGCTGTTTCTAATGGGAAGGAAACTAACTCTAGTAGAAAGCTGTCAGTACAGTGCTACATTGGCAGAAAAATAACTAGTATTTGGGACAATTCTGCAGCAACGACACCCAAGGCTACACCACATTCAGAAAATGTTTGACTACTCAAATTGAATGATCATATTTTTCATTTGAAAAACATTTTTGACTGTTAAAATAATTCCAAATTGTCTACTTGACATCTTAACTGCTTTGCACAAAAGACTCTACAGTACCTTTACAATTTCCCACAATTTTCTTCGTGTAAGTGAATATTAAGCAAGCCACTTGAGCATTTTCACAATTTCTTGCTCTGAATACGCATGTGACTGACCGATGTTGACTGTATGTAATTTGATCTGAAGGAAGGATGACTCAGACTCCGTTTTATCTCCGATTCAGGCAGTGGCTCTTGACATTAAACGTATTCCTTTCAACTCTTTTCATGTTTGTCCTGTCTGTTACCTCTGCAGAGAAGGCACGTCAAAGCTCATTCAAAAGGAGGCATCTGTTCACGCCACAAACATCACAAAGAATACAACAGAACAGTAGTCACAGCTGAAAGAGGATGACCGTGTTTTATTTGATCCTCACAGCAAAGGCGTTGGAGAAATAATTGTCTTAAATAATGTGGGCGGCATAGAAAATGTCTTTGAGCGCCTGTACCAGTTTTGTTCCATGTATCTGAGCAAAATTTGTCTTGCCCCAGTACAGATATATTGTGTAAGCAGCTCTTGCGAATATCTCTGCGTTCTGTCTGCATCTAATTATAAGGCCTTTTATTGTCCAGTAATCAGAAGGTGCTGATTGGAATGCTAGTTGTCTTTAACTTTACAGTCACAGCAAAACTAAGCTAAAGAAAAGTGCATTTAAACTTTGCGATGAATAATTGGGATGCATAAGATAAATGAGGAATAACTTTGGACCACATCAAACATCTAAAATGAACTAGTTCTGTTTTTCATATTTTCATGACTCTAAAAATCACATACAGTGCTTTTAATATTGTCTCAGTATTGTTTAGAAGTGTAGTTTAATACATGGCCTGCACTGCTTCTGTTCGTTTTACAGTGTTCAATAAGCAATAATTGCAGCTATAACACTGTTTCTACTTCAGACTTCCAAAACAAAGAAATAACTTGCAGCAAATGTGTATATATTTTCAGCTTCAGCAAGCCAATCTAATTAAATACCAAACTGAATTATATTGACGACAATGAATTGTATCAAAGAGAATCATAACTAATACATTTTCTGTCAAAGTACATCTAAAGACCTGCCCTGATGATTTGATTTGTTTTTGTTTTAGGCGGGTTGGCGAGCCGAATAAAGAGGAAAGACACACTGGCACTGAAGCTGGAGCGGCAGGAGCGACAGGAGCGCGAGGATGCTCAGGAGAACCACGACTACATGAGCTGGAAAAACCAGGAGCAGTGGGTCCAAGTTCGCAACACGATTGGCACTGCTCTCACAAGGTAGGATCTGCATTAAGGCAGTTCGATTATATATCCGCTTAATTAATCGATTATACTATTATTTGTGAATTTAAATGTACACATGATAACTAAAAAACAATGGTAATTGACGGAAAATGTGTATGTTTTTGTTGTGAAAGTATATGGTGATCTTTTAGTGTTTCCATCATTTTAAAAAAGCAATAACTCTTATGCATGCTTGGTTAAAAATAATGTTTTATGTTAAAATTTCCAATCAAACTTGACAAAGGACCAATACAACACTTAATTTAACATGCAACAGTCTTAAGACGTTTTATAATTTTATCACATTATCATTTGCACTCATTAAATCTCTTGGATGGAATACTGCACTTTGATAGTTAATTGTTATATTTCAGCACATAGATTGCCATCATAACCAGATAACCATCATTTTAGCAAGAAATGATCCACTTCTAAGCTGAGCCTTGTTACCATTCATCTCCAATACTCCAGCTGTCATCTCTCGTTCTGAACTGATTCCGATCCCAGACTAATTTGTCCCATTACCCAAGCCCTCCTCCATCTTGTAGATAAAATAGCCTCCCTCCCGTCTCTCACCGGCGTCTCTGAGATGACCCATATGAGTGACTGTGTATCCATGTGTCCCCAGGCGGCTGAGTCAAAGGCCCACTGCAGAGGAGCTGGAACAGAGGAATATTCTTCAAGGTGAGACCCATACTGCTACTACTACTACTGCTGCTGCTGCTACTGCTGCTGCTGCTGCTGCTGCTACTGCTGCTACTGCTGCTACTGCTGCTACTGCTGCTACTGCTGCTACTGCTACTGGTGATGCTTTTAGATCAGACGTACAAGGTCAAATGGGGAGCGTAGCATTTTTCTCACCTCCAGACGAATCAATACAGCGCATCAGTTATTCATGCACATAATCTTAGTGCATTTTTCTGTTGTTGGGCTGTTGTCTAGACTTGAAACTTTAGTGACTATAGAAAAAAGAAAAAGACATCATATTATGGAGCTCAACCATGACCGCCTACTCCGGTTCTGGAAGTACATTTTCCTTAGACTTTTTGGGATACAGGGATTTTTTCACATTTAAAACACAAGATTCTGTGAAATGCAAATAATAACACTTTATACAGTTTCAGAAAATGATTTAAAATACAATTATAGATCTTGTGGACATATGTTACCACATGGCTGAGCAAGCATTCCAAATTTTAATATATCTTTTTTTTTTTTTTGGAAAGTCTATGGGGAAAAAAAAAAAAAAAAAAAGAGAAACTGACAGAGGGTATTCGGTCACTGTTGAGCTCCATAGAGATCATGCAATGGGATGCTTCTTAAAGGGCTTGTACCTGTTCTTGTTAAGATAATAACATAGTAAAAGCTGTTAAATAAGAAAACAGACTGTAAAATATAATCTAATACAGAAGCTACTGACTCTTCATCCAGTCACATTGTTACTAAGAATCATGGGAAACCAACTGCATGACACTATCTCCAACAGTTGTTTCTTGGTGCAATATCACAATATCACATGTAATACTACATGGGCGGGGGCTAAAAGTTCCAGCTAAAGCATGTTTCTGACTCATGTTTGAAATCTGGTACAAACCCTTTAATACGGTATGTTAAGGTACTGAATGCTTGATTGTAAGCCTTTCTATCCCTTGATTATAATAGTATGGCAGTTTTGACATGCCTGGATTAAAAGGGTTGATGTATGGTAGTGGTAATAGCACCACTCAGATTTACTGGGGCAAAAACTAAAAACTCCATCTTGTATATTCGCTGACTAAAAAAATTTGACAACCAAATCACTACAACCAAATGAAAGCCATAGATTCACTTTGAATAAAAGCTACATTTCTCCTTTGATCTACTCTCCATCTTAAAACGGATCAAGTTTATAGAAGTGGCTGTATACGTGTTATTTTAGTTTAACTTGTAGAAGCAATGCAAAAAGAAGAATTTGCATTGTCTTAAACTATCATTATGTAGCCCTGACAATTTGCTTCACTTTTATTCCTCGGTTATTTGACAAATGTTCCTCTCCATTTACCCAGTTAAGCTTAATAAATTGCTTCAAAGCAACATTTAATTTGTTGCTGTGAATGTGGAAAAAGTGGGCGTCCGGTCCCTGGGCAGCCAGATCAGTATTTCTAGACTATATTGTGAATTATTTGGTATTTAGTACACATATCAGAAATATCTTAAAGTTTACTGGGAATGATGGGATTTATTTTTCTGAGATCCAGAATACACGCTTCTTCAGTACTTGGAAGATGCGAGTCTGATCACTGGTAAATCTCAGTGTGTTCGGATGGGCATGACTGACAGGTGGATTCGCCATGTCCACTTAAAAAAGAATGGGAAAAAATATCACAGGGAACTGAAAAACATCCCAGATTTTTGGAGAATCAATGAGCAAAACACTGAACTCTGAGGTTAATCTGAGGTGAGAGAATTATGATTTTGTTTGTAAATGATAGGCGACCAATGAGCTCCTTTGTTTCGCATGCATCACTTAAAAAAACCCCAAAACAAATATGATTGCATGATCAAGTTTTGTTCTGGCTTAAGATGCGACTGGGAGTTGACCAAACTGATATCACTTTGTATAAATAAATCCAAAGAGATATCATTCTGGATTCGTCAGGCAAACTCTTTATCCTTATATGTACAAGCTCTGCAGACTGAGCCTAACAACCCCCCGCGGTTTGAATCTGGCACCACGTTGAACTTCAAGGCCAGCTCCAAGAATCAAACATCCTTCCAAAAAAGATCCTGGAATCTGTCAGCAGGTTTTGATCCCCGTCTTTTTCCCCGCTGCGCCTCACATGTCCTGGGATGACTCAGGCCAGACGAGCCTTTGCACCCCTCCTCTCCCTCTCTACCGTCTGATAATGTGTGCATTGTGCAGAAACATGCGGTGATTACAGATCCCTGTTGGGGCAGCGTGCCGACAGCGGCTCAGGTGAAGGAGAGCTGAGTGGACGTACTGTTTTTCCTCTCACTCATGGAATGTCTCCTCTGTCCTCCACAGCCAAGAACGAAGCTGACCGGCGACTGGAGCGCTGTGAGATCAAACGCAGGCTCACCAGAAAGGTCAGGGTTCTAACATGCTACACTGTATATTCATAACATTTATCACACAACATGGACAGTATCATTGAGTTTCTTGTCTTGGAGATTATTGTGGATTTTTATGTTTTTTTTTTTTTTTTTTTTTTTTTGGGTAAATTATCCGTTTTAGTTACAGGTGCACTATCTAACTTCTCTACTGAAGCTACACCAGATGCTTATATCTTGCTATTTATTTAGGTGTTTTATTGTTTAAAAAAGCTTGGAAAAAGATTTTTATTGTGCAGCGTCACCTCTCCATAGATCAGGTAGATTTGTATATATGAGGTCATAATCAGGGACTGCACATTACCATGTTGGTTTTTAGCTTTATCATTACAGCTTAACTTGGTCTATTGTGGTGAATAATTGGGATGGTTGGAATGTTTAAGATAAGTGAGGAATAACTTTGGACCCCTGCCGTTAGTTTAAAATGAACTAGTTCTGTTTTTCACATTTTCAAAATCTGGTGCAGCACATTTAAGATTGCATTACCGGTACTTTCATTTCCCCATATCTTTTATGTAATTCAAAAACAGTACGAAGCCAGAATGTAATATATAATTTAAACTATAATACAAAAGTAACAACCCTTTTGGTAAATAACTTGACAAGACACATCTCAGCATTGGGATCGTTTGTCGCCACCGTTGGATACAGGAGTTCTTCTTCGACATTACAACTTGATTGCTTATGCTCCAGAGCAAATGGATTTGTCGGAACATCTCTCTCCCTCAGTGAGACCGGCTCTGACACATTTGTGCTTGTTTTTGTACCCAGAGCTCGTCTGTCACAGCTGCACTGGAGTTGGCTTCTGCTCGGAGATTAGGAAGACTTTTATTTGCATAGTCACTCAGTCATTTCCCTCACAACAGAACACAGTTTAGAGTCGATGTAAACCCAGAAGAAGCTCTTGTTAAATCGTGTAAAACCTGTGTGGAGGACAGTGTCGATAGCTAATCTTTAAAGTCAACAACAGTATGGGGAAAGTATATTCTTTGACAGTGACTCAAACTGTTCAGAGCAAGTACCAAAGATTTGGCTTTCCAAGCACCACCAGATCTAAAGCAGGTCTGTAACAGGACTGGTGTAGGTCTAATCCTCGCCTCAACTAGCCTAAAAGTGAACCATAATTTCCACTATAGTATTTTTAAATATGTTTAGCATATTATGTATTAAGTATCTAGGGTTCTTTAATGCTGAGGTGTCGTAATTTCGACCCAGAGTATGGTATAAATAAATAAAACAGATAAGAGAAACTGTCATAACTTGTAACAATATACCAATGAGGGTGAACTCCTGATAATTTTGGCTTGAAAACCTTAAAACCCTTGAAATACAGTACCTTGACTAAAAAAAAACTACAATGCTGCAGCCAAATTGTGCTGTCTTAAACACTGAAAAATGTAACGGACTAGGGCTAGGATATGGCAGCGATCTGTGCAATCAGAAGAAGGTCCAGCAGGAGTGAAGGTGGTGGACGTGGTGTTACGTGACGTGGGTTACAAAAACATAAGTACTGGTAGTTCTTTTTTAACAGTCTGAAATTGTCCAAAGTTATTCGTTACATACCTTACGCATTCTGAACATCCTAAGTAGTCACTGATGCATTTATAAACACTTCTCACAACTTTCAGAAACTAGTAGTTTTCACTGTAGCTGTCACTGTAAAGGTTATGACGACTAGCAAGCTAATGCTCACTTTTGATTATCAGTGCAGTAACATGAGGTACAAAGCCTTTGTGCTTGTTTTTAGCCTTGCAGGTATAAATAGCTATGAGTAGGTAGACCGTCATAGATCAAAACAGAAGGAGCTTTTTTCAAAACAGAAGGTAAACCGACCACTGTCCACCAGTAATAACACTGTTTGTCTCTGTGTCCTCAGCTGTCTCAGAGGCCCACTGTTGCCGAGCTCCAGGCCAGAAAGATCCTTCGTTTTCACGAGTACGTTGAGTGTACTCACGCCCAGGACTACGACCGCCGCGCAGACAAGCCCTGGACCAAACTCACCCCTGCTGACAAGGTGAGACTACAACTCTCCAACATTTGAGCTCATTCAGCAACATCTCCCCTAAGCCAACTTTGAGAGGATTTGCATTACAAGCAGTTTTCAGCAGGAATGTAATATATGGTCGGCATATGTTCATTAAATTATTTTCGTAGTCTAATTCTTAGACGGACAGACTAATAAATCTGGCTTTTCAGCAACAATTTAGGCTGTGCAAATAACCCAATTTTAATTGTGATTACACTGATTGTGCAGAGAAAGCAATTAAATTGTGTTTTGAATGCTGTGGACGTTCGTTCTTCACCGCAAAACAAAGTAATTTATGTAGTGTACAGCCCCCTGTTTACACTACCACTCAAAAGTTTCAACACACTTTTTCACTCATTTAATGTTTTTTCTTTATTTTCACGTAGTACATATAAAAGTGTGAAATAAACTTAAAACATGTTTTTGTATAAAAAATCTACAAAATTAATTATCCACTATTATTATACCTCTGAAGTAGGCCAAGATAATAAGGACTTGGCATTGAGCAAAGCAATGCAATTTCTCTACTTGTATCTAAAATTTTGACTGGTATTTTAAATAAATTATTTATGATTAGTTTTTCGTAAATGAGCCAGGTAAAGCCAAGACACGTTTTTCCTTTCAGTGCATTTTGGCCACCTCAGCACTTCACTGCTTTGGCAAACTCTGAGGATTTGCATCACAAGCAGTTTTGAGGAAAAATACAAAACCTTATGCTGTTAGGTGTGTGCATTTTCTAGTCCCATGGAGCTTATAGTACTTAAGGACAAGCTACAGAGTGTGAAATACAAATGGACACAAACAGGTTCTATCTTTAGAGTGCTAATAATAGTGCAGAGATCCTGTATTAACTCCACACATGCCTTTGATCACACGCTGGCTTCCGTTTTTCCCCCCACTGAAACATGTTTTTTCAGTCCCACTTCTTTTATGTGTTCCTTACAGGCTGCCATCCGCAAGGAGCTCAATGAATTCAAGAGTTCGGAGATGGAGGTTCACGATGAGAGCCGCATCTACACCCGGTCAGACTACATCAATAATTCACAGTTTTCTCTCCTATATAGTTTATTTTATAGGCATCAATAGAGCACTGGCTCACCTCTGAACAATCACCTCGAGGAGATATGAAGGCATTAGGCCGGGTCAGATTCAGTGGCAAAGTCACAGATAGAGGGCAGGAGACAGAATTACTCTATGTGGACTGGGCTATCTTTTGAATGGGAAATTCACAATTGTTTTTCTTAATGATTAGAACTACTGCTCTATTGATTTTGTGACTTAATGCAGTGTCTCCTGTCTATAATGAGTAAAGCTAAGTAGAGGTGGGCAATAAAAAAATAAAAAAAAGGATATGATTGATATGATATGATTATTTTTGCTGGGAATCTCAAAATAATACCAAAATATATTTTTGTCACTATTGCCCAACCCCGAAGCAAGACACCTGGTTCTATTCTATTCAATTTATTTTTGTAGATCTCAAAATGACAACAGCAGTTGCCTCACGGTGCTTCACACATTTTTTTGATTGAAACAACAATGTTTATTGAATAAAAGACATGCAGATTTCCAAAAATATATTTCAGTAGTTTAGCAATGCTCATGGCAAATCTATAATTGTAAAATATAAATATATTATAAAATCTGTGAAAATCTATTTCTTTGAGCCAAAAAAAGTATAATTTTTTCTCATTTATTTGTGCTCTCTCCATCTGCTTTGTTTCTATTCCACTGCTTGTCAGTCAGGCCGACAAGTTATCAGTTATTTGTACCATAAAATCCTGACCTGTCCAACACCTCAATTTTGAACTATAGAGATTTGTTTTTGTTGTAGCATCATGTGACTCATTCTATATTTGGTCTCTGTTCATGACCTTTTGCCTTTGAATTTCTTCCTCCAGGTTTCACCGACCTTAGCTGCCCATCGCCGAAGCACTTAATCGGGGATGAAGCGGATGATGTGCAGGTCCTACACTGGAACAGACTTACCGGCTACATGGTCCTCCACTGTCTACTACTACTACTACTACTACTGCTGCTACTGAAAAGTATAAAGAAAGCAGCTCTCAAGAGTGTGTGGGCTGTCCATGTTCAAAGGTGCCTTGTGCCAACACTAAGAGGAATGCTAGAAAGCAGTCCCAGAAATATATTGCCTTATGATCTAGACTACTGGTTTCCTCACACAAAGGGAAGCGAAACATTTTAGCACTGGTACTTTAAGGTGGGGTTCATTGCGGTGGTACAGCGTGGGTTGGGTCAGTAATGGTCAGTTATGAAAGGTGGCTGTAGAAGCTTTTAAACTGGCTCTCAAGTGCCCCCTGTCAGGTTTAAGAGGTACTATCATTTAAATCATTGGATCACAAACTTTAGACTTTTACAAAGTTCCATCCAGCAAAATATATGGACTTCTGATTACCTCCAGATTTAAACCAGATCTAAATTAGTACTACACCATGATCTAAGCCAAGATTTAGGCCAAAAAGGAGGACGTGTGCAGGGATTTTGTTTAATTTGTTGTTTAATTGTGAGCGACAGTTTTAAGAAGCACTAATCAAAAATGAATAATAAGCTAGTCTTCTTCACGTGTCTTGTCTTTTATAGCTGAAAATTTGATGACACAAGAAGGTTAATTCCGAGACTCATAATTCTTAATATTTTAATTTCAGGAGTGAGACAATATGAAATGAGGGAACTGACAAATTGGCAGTAATTGATAGATTTTATGAAACAACTAAAACTACAGATCTTACCACTTATTCATTCATCTGACTTAACAAACCATCCAGTGTTAAATATGCAAATGGACAATGTGATGTCAAATTCCATTCATTGCTGCTGCAAACTTTTTAAATTGTATGGTACATTTTTTTGTGCGCTCTTTTAATAATCTTGGTAAACTTAACCCATGCTGTGCCATTTCTAGTGGAATCACCCCTTCAAACCACTGACTTCCTTACATAACTGGAAGCATTAGCATTTAAAGCACTGTGTACGGTACCACTTGGCTAATTATGGTACCACTATGCTGACAAACATCATTCATCTGTAAATGGTACCACTTCTAAGCCTTAATAGTACTCACTTTTGTAAATTTACATCAATGTGAAAACCTCAATAGAGCGTACTTTTATCATAATTATTTTTCGGGTGCTCTCTAATATTAAAGTTATAGCATTTTACTGTAAATTCTCAATGATTTTGTACAAATCTTCCCAAGCACATATCACTATTTTTTGTAAAGTTGCACCTTATGTTCCTCAACTGGGTGTATAGAGAATTTAAACATTTCTTAATATTGTTATTCTACAAAATGAACAGAATTTGGAAAGTGTACATATTTTTATTTTTTGTTTTTCTTTTATGGTACTTTATACGTGCGGCTAACGTGCTGTTTTTGTGTAGATTTCATTGACTTAACGTGTACATCTACTGTATTTCTGACATATTTTAAGTGTAAAGTATTTGTCAACATAGTAATGGTACATAATATTTTCTTTTTTGATACAGAGATCTTTAAAGTTTTCTGACAACTACACTGTAAAAATGACACTGAAAATTAAACCTAATAACTTGTGATTACACTTCAGAGTGAGTCTTTTCTTTTTGTTCTTCTCAGATCAATCATTTTTGCCAGAGAAGAGCTAAGATTCAAAGTCTTTCTATCTTTAGCGAGCATATTTAGTTTCACATTTCATCCCAGCAGCAGGATTGTTTAGACAATTACCCAGATACAAATAAAAAATACTCATTTGAACATTTGAAGTATTGATTGAAAAATAAACATGAAAGCAAATGGGACAAAATTGGACATTTGCTTTTATTTATAATGGCATTTTATAATACTGAACAATGAACACTGATAGCCCTGTACGTGCGTCATCCTCCTGCAGTGATCTTGTTCAATACTGTAATATAATGTGGATCACCTCCTGTATAATACACTGAATACACAGTTACTTTACCTGCTATTTATCCTGTTCATATGCTGCACTGAACATAATAATGGTCAGAGCCACTTACTGTACATAATAGTGCTGTAGCCTTATACAATATTAATATTCAACTATATAATTTAATAATCAGTATAATTTCTAGTGGATTTAATAAAGGAGGGATGGCATATAGGGATGTAACAATAACCGAAATATTGTGATATCGTATCGTCAAAAGTCTCACAATAATATTCACAATATTAATAGTCACAATATTTCGAATTACAAAATCCTTTGCTTAAATGCACTGTTTTATAGTAGCAATAGCTAATAAACATCAGGAACTACGTATCCCATAATACACATCAGTGCCGACAACATGCAGAAATATGGTTTTACTTGAATTCTTGTGATTATGACGGTAATAAATCACACCAAAATCTTGTCAAGGTATTTTAAAACCAATAAAATGTCCCATCTACGATTATAGCAGCCTCTCCAAAATCGCAATAAACATTGTACTGAGAGATTTGGATATCGTTACATCCCTAATGGAATAATTTGATAGCAGTAAAATACATTTGACTTTTAAAAACAAAAGAATAAACTGCAAGCCTCCAGCGACTTTTTCAAATGGCACTAATCTGTTTTTGTAAATGAACTCTTTGTTCTCTAACACTTATTTATCTTGGTTTTGAGTGTCTATTTCTATTCTTCTCCATCTCTGCTCTGTTCTTCTTATTGTTTGTTTAACCAAGGGCCAAGTTCTGTCATCGTGCCCTCAGGAATGACACTTCACCTTCCGTGTCAAGTGTGAATCTGGTGTATGTGTGAATTATGAGGTGGTGGTCGTGGGCGCACATGACTCAGGGCAGCTGAGTGAATGAATAATGACAACAGTGTAGTGCTTTAAGAGGCTTCAACGACACTGTAAAGCACATTAATAATCTTCATGATTATTTATGTTTTGATTTGTTTTTATTATGATTTTAATGTATTTCTTATTCTGTAAAGCACTTTGAATTACTTGTGCTATACAAATAAACTTGCCTTGCCTTAAAGGTGCACTATGTAAATTCGAAGGTGAGGTGTCCCCTATTTTCTTGTCTCTATGGAGATTGTAACAGGCTGGTTTGTTACTCATAAGTACACTCAGCACCTTCACCCTTCACTAGGATGCTTTAAAACACTGCACTTTGATAGCACACAGCACACACATATTTGCACATATGACAACAAAAAAAAACTACACACAATTGGTTTTAAAAATTATTTATTGTCTTTCCTTTTACCACTTTTTAATCCTGAGGCACAGTAGCACTTTAATTGAAAGCTGCTCATCCCTAGAGGAAAAGTACAATTAGCCAATTACCTTTTTAAATTGAATTAGTGCAATATATGGTACAATATATCTGTTTTTGAAATGTTATAAGTGTTGATGTGTGTGGTAGTGTATTTTATGGTGTTTTAATAAATGGTGTTGCTCTGCTTTTACTTACAAAAGAGTCCCCCCGGCAACGAGCGCCCTCTTTCAAGGTTCTGGACTGGACCAAGTATATTATTTTGTACAGGGTGTATTAGGTTGGGTGTTTTATTGGTTAATTGGTTTTAAAATTTCATTGGTGTGTGGTTTTAGGGTTTTTATGTATATAGTTGGGGTTTTAATAGTTATTTGTTTTTTGGTTTATTTTATGGAGGTTTAGGTCAAGATTTTAAGCTAATGATAATTTTACCATCCCTGTTTTAGCTATAGTTTTATCCAATCAGTGAGACCAGCATAAAAGGCGCCTTGGTATGTAAGTCTGTGCTCTGCTGCTGGAGAGGAACCTGCTGCCTGCCTCCATTTTGCACCCTGCACTTTTTTGCACTTGCACTTTTTCTATTGACTGAAAACAACAACAAAAAAGTAAACTGTGGACTGCTACTTCACGTCTATGTCTGGATTTTTTAACCTTACTCACTGAACCCCAACCCGCTCACAGTCAAACTACGTCACAGAGATGTTATTTTTTTTGCATGGAGTGTTCCACAGTATGGCATCAAACTAGCCTGATTCATCAGCCGGTTTCACTTCGTAGAAACCGTCTGATCTCGCAGCATTAGGATTCATTTGCTCGACAGTAGGCGGGTACTTTTTTCATTTAACAAATCGCTACTATTTGGTCATGATGTATGTATTGCGCCGCTAACGGGGCTAACTGGTATATTAAGCTTTTCCCAAATCCTGTAGGAAGAAGGGCAATAACGTCTTTCCCCTTGTTAAAATTCACCAAACATTCTCTTTATTCCGGCTTTAAATCCTTGATCTCTGTAATAGCTGACAACACAGAATGTGGCTCCTCGCTGATTGGCTGGTACCCGAACTCGCACTTCAGCGTTTTTTGCGAAACAAATAGTGTATTCTGATTCCTGACCTAGTCGCTGGAGAGAAATGAAATTGAGTGGAGGCACTAGGGGGCGCCAGTATTTATTCAATTCCAAGTGTTTTATAGCTTAAAAATACCTTGAAAAACATGAAGTCTTACAATGTGCAGGCTTGCTCCTCCATAGATCTGATTCTTAACTTGTCTCTACTGTATTGTGATAACCAAATTTACTTCCATACTGAAAAATAATCAGCTCCAGATAGTAACATCTCCAAGGAACCAATCAGGTAGCGGACCCTTCACCAGAAAAGTTACACAGTGCATTGTTACTATTGTAGCCACAGCTGCCCTGGGGTAGACTCAGAGAAACTGGGTTGTCAATCTGTGCCATCAGCCTCTCAGACCAACAGCAATCCCTCAGCACACCCCACATTTATAAAGATAAAATAGATAAAAATCCAACCAGCAAATAATCGTGAACTTCTTTCTTTCTCTTCAATCCTTCTAAACCGCCTCATTATTTTCCATCCCTGCAGGACAAACCGAGATAACAGACATGACCAGCGGGGGGCAGTGTTCTCCAAAACCATGGCAGTTCTTTTGACACCTCTATCTCCTCTTTCTTCCTCACATTTGTGCACCTGCCTGGTTTAACGGTGTGAATAATTGCTTCTGACCTGACAAGTGTTCCTCGAATTCCTATACGGTGGTCTTTGCTTTGTCCCCTCTCCCCTGTGGCGTTCATTAGCCGCTGACACTCCCCTGAATGTCACGCTGCGATCAAAATCAGCCAATTAGGGCCCCGAAGATAGATTCATCCTCTGAGCTCCCTTTTACAGCAGACGTTTGGATAAAAGCATACGTCTTTATTGTAGATGGGTGTAATATCGCAGAGTTAAATTGAAGTCATTATGGTGCTTTTCAGGAACAGAGCTGCTTAATATCGAATAATGCGTTCTTGTAATAAATGGTTGTCGGTGTGTAAAAAGTATAATCTACACACATTGGACTATTAGCGTCAAGGGTTGTTAGTTATTATGTCAAATGTGTAGCTTTGTAATCCGAAAAGTCTCACTTACGATTTATGGTTTTAATATAGCTTAGTTTTAGTAGAGGAAACTTTTTCATAACATAAATAATTCAATATTTTTTTGTATTTTATTTTAAAAAAAATATATATTAGTTCATGTTAATGCACTCATCAGGATGCATCTAAGGTTATTCAGGATGACACTGGCTTGTGGTGACCCCTAGTGGCTGCAATTTAATTTTATTTGAAATCATTAAAGATCCTATATTACTCAAAATTGATTCTTGTGAGCTTTAAGTCATGTAAAATATTACCTCCTCAAAATATTCCTGGAGTTGTGTTTTGTTTCATTCACACATGTTTGAGCAATCTGGCATTATTAGTTTGTCTACATCTCCAAAGCTCAAAATGCTCTGGACCACCTTGTGATGTCATGAAGCGGTAGTTTTTAGGTGAACAGGTTCCTTTTACCTTGAATTGAACAGAAATGGGTGATTCCAGATCATTCTGAAGGTGTATGGAGTTTAAAAACACAGTGGAGCACTTCTTGTATTAGTGTATTATAACAGAGATCAGAAAATAGTTCCATATGGGGCCTTTATAATATGGGCGTGACTGAAATATTACGCACTGGATCTTTAAGTTCAGTCTGTTTATGTTTATGTGCATTGTTTCCCAAAGACTTGGAAACCCGCAGGTGGGTCTCAACAAATGTTTTTTTGGGTTGCCTTGTCACGCTCTACATGTAGGTCTGCAATATACAGTTCTACAGACTATTTTTGTTCCAGTATTGCTGGTTCAATTTAATGTTGAAAAGAAATAGAAATAGGCGACTTATGGAAACCTTTTATTGCTGGTTCAGTGACTGCATGTCATTGTTTAAAACTTGAGTAATATGAATTGTTCAGAGAGACACAATAATAGGTCAACAATAAAATATTTTAAAATATAAATAAAATATATTAATGTTGAATAAAGGTCACATCCAACTTTATTTTGTGATTTATGAATAATGTCTGTTGATTTGGGTCGTGAAGGTTTGTGACTTTTAAAATATGGGTCAAAAGTTTGGGAAACACTGGTATAGTGGGTTGAGACTTCGCCCACCAACTGAAGTGATACCTGTTCAAACAAACCAATCTTAACCGTACCAAACAGTTGTCATTTTTTGTGTGTCTCTGGGCAAAACCCTTCATCCATATTGCCAACTAAATTCACAATTTTAGTAGAGGAAAAATATATTTGTATATGTC